AAACATTTGACATGCTTTCTGAGACCCAGGTATTATTTAAAAACACAAACCTAATACAAGGCTTTCTTGAACAATCAATGTAAATTTACACTGATAAACATACTTGTGCATGTACATACACACACACACATACACACATATACATACACACATCTTACAGTGTATTTTAAAAAACAAATACCCTTTTCCCCCAAGAAACAAAACCTATGCTTTCAAAACTATCCTGAAGTTATCTTTATCATTAAATGAGTCTAGTGAAAATTCAAATTGTATGCAAATTCCTCACATGAAAGTGGAAATAAAACTTTAAATCTTTTATAAAAATGATTTGGGAATACCTTTGTGCAGAGTGGATAACATTTTATTACCTAGGGTGAGATTCAGAAGGGCAATAGAATCAAGTTATTTTTGACTATGGGTATCTCTGGAGCTCAATAACATATACGGCAGCATGTCACATTAACATATAAAATTAAGTTCTGAAACCCCCCAAAGCACCATTAAAACAAGCCTCAACAAGATACACCAAGTAAAACTGCAGCTGGCATGGACTTGCACTCAAATAGTGGTTCAGCATCACTAACAGAGCATTGCAGAAAACCTGTTCATTCAGTATTATCTTCTGTAGCTGCTCCAGATGCATCATCTTAACCAATCAAATAGACAATAAATATGCCACTCTTGGTATAAATTATGTCCCCTGCCTTCTGGAACATTTTTTTCTGAATGGAGAAGTAACATTTTGTACATTTTACTTCATATTATATTTTTAACGTTCTTTGGAATATTATGCTAAAAATAACTACTTCATTTGGAGTTTGAGGCTAAACATACAAAATGTTTTTTTTCATTGATTTTATCATTCAAAAGAATGTCCTAGTTTTTGGAAAGATACTTGGAAAAGAGAAATTGTATCACATACCAATTTGTCTTCAATGTGTTTTTTAATAATAATCATTTAAAAGATCTAGATCTATGATATTCATCATTACTGTAAAATGTTTATGAACAATATAGAAGTAATCAAAATTTTCATTACTCTAGAATAGCAGTTACTATATTAACATCTAGTGACACCTGGTTATGGTCAAAATCTTTTCAAGGGTCCATCAATTCAAAACTTTTATTATAATAATAGCAGTACAATATTAATATATACTAAATGTTTTAATTTCTAATACAAGAAAAATCAATAGATATAATCCAAATAAACAAAAATTCTTTGGAGGGGATACTTATACATTTTAAGAGTGTAAAGGTTCCTAAGACCAAAAGGTTTGAGGACCACCACTTCAGGATTTGGATAATTAGAAATCTACAACTAGATAATTTAGCAAATATTTCATGTGTGTGTGTGTGCGTATGTTTGCGTGTGCATGTATGTGCAAAATAAGAGTGGGGGAGGAGAGAGAGAGATTGGTGATTTGTAATTTCTCATCTTATATGAAATAAGAAAAAAAAATAAAACAACAATGTCAAGATGTGGTAGAACTCACAGGAATCTGTAAAATTGTTCATTCCTGGAATTAAATTTTTGATTTTGGGATAATATAGTACCATTATATACACAAAATAGGACTAGTAATTTACTCAATGACATTAAAAGAGGGAATAAATGAGCAATAGTGAATAAATTTAAGGTGTATTATTCTCTAAAGAGTAATTTTTTTCCTTTACAGAATAAAAGCTTTTTCACATTCCTTCTCATTTTTCACACTATCTAGCTTGGGGGGGGTCCTTATTTTTAATTCTTTGAAAAATTTGGAAAATACGCTGCTTGAC